CAGGGGGCTCACAGATCTTCTTGTCTGCTTGGGAATCACACCACAGAGAAACTGCCTGCCCATAGGTACCAAGTTAGTTATCCACAAAGATGTCTCCTGTCCTGATATTCATGGTGGTCATAGTGGTTCAGTGGCCCCGGGGCCTCATCTAGATTCATGGGGTTTTTTTACACCTATACTCATTGTTCATCGATTTGCCTGCCTGCTGTCTCTTCTGATGCCCCCACAGTCTGTTTGCCTGATGGCATCTGAGCTGCTGTCATCTGCTTGGGTTCAGCAGAGTTCCTTGTTGTCCCACAGGGCAGCTGGAGGAGCTGGAGGAGCTGGGGAGGTGGGGACCTGGGCAAGGCTGGCCAGGAGAAGCAGTGTCCTGGAGCCCTAGGCTCCAGGCCGCAGCCAGGGAGAGCTGATGCAGCCAGCACACAGGCAGCCTTCAGCTCCAGGGCTGCTCCTTCGGGCTCCTTTGCAGCCAGCCTCTCCCAGGGCTCCCCGCACATCAGCCCTGGTGGGGCCCACTGGACCGGGCCTCCAACGGTATCTTGAGCCAGTGCTGCCTCTCTCTGCTGTGCCCGCCCCTGCTGCACAGACCTCCCCTCCCCTTCCCCATGCTGCCAGCTTCATTTCTGCCTTCCAGGCCCAGCTTGGGTGTCTCCTGATAATTCCCACCCGCAGCTGCTGCACAGCTAACCCCTCTCCCTCAGGGCTCCCATGTGAGGAGTCAAGGTGTATTTCACCAAAAGTGTGGAGCGCAGTGCCTGGCTCAGAGCGTCAGTTCAGCAAGCACAGATGAAGGGCCTGCCTTGTGCTGGCTGGCAGGGGATTATGAACTTGCAAGAGCCCGAGCCCTGGCCCTCTGGATACTCCTGGCTTTACTCGTACTTCGGCATGAGCCAGGACGGCAGCAAGAACCGGGTGGGCTCATAGAAGAGGGACGTCAAAGCTACTTGGAGATTCGAAGCGGGCTGACCCCTGGGATCAGCTGCGGAGTTGGCCATGCTTGGAGACAGAGGTGGGGTGAGGGTAGGGTTGCAAGCATGGGAGAGAAACATCCTGTGGGAGCAGGGGTGGCTCTGAGCCGTTCAGGACAACGAGAACTGAGTTGGGGCGGAGGACAGACAGGTGGAGCTGGGGAGACGGGTGAGCCCACGGCTTCTGTGCATCGGTACCTCCCCTGAGTGTCTAGTATCTGCAGGAGCCCTCAAAGGGCCCCACGTGGACGGACTCTGCATCCTGGTGACTCGGGAAAGTGCCAACAGCACAGGGTAGTCCCAGCAGCGGGTGGGTGAGGCTGACAGGCCCAGAGGCCGGAGGAAGCCGCAGGTGAAGTCATTCTGAATGGATCATCTGATTACCACCCAGTTGTTTTCTGTGGCTTTCAAATCACTGCTTCTTTGGGTCAGGGTGGATCATGTACCCAACTACCACAGTTCCCGTCTTAGTATGTTGGGCTGCTTAATAAAATACCATAAGCTAGCTGGCACAAAAACATCAGAAATGTATTTCTCTCAGTTCTGGAGGCTGAGAAGTTCAAGATCAAAGCACCAGCAGATTCGGTGTTCGGTGAGAAGGCTTCTCTTTGCTGTACCCTCAAGGGGTGGGAGAGCTCTCTAACGTCTCTTTCACAAGGGCGCTAATCCCACTCATGAGCGAGCCCCCTCTGTGACCTAATCTGATTCCAGATACCAGCACACTGGGGGTTAGGACTTTAACATGTGCATCTGGGCAGACACGTTCAGTCTATAGCAGTTCCCAAGTGGTGACCCCAACAGTCTAACCTCGTGGGCCTACAGATAAACCAGCAAACTGTGGGGACCCTGGGACACCCAGGGACCATGCTCCTGTGCCCTGTGTCACCTACATCATCATGTCTACTCAGCTTTACTTCTCCCTGTCCCATACTCAAAGGGAAGGTGCCCGTGGGCATGGCACTGGGGCCAGAATCTGATACCATGTCATAAAAGAGTAGAGTCAAGGACCAGGGGTGCTATCCAGTCAAAAGAGCTGAGTCATTGAGACGCCACTTTAGGGCATCTACTTTCTTCTTTCCTTGCTCTGGGGGCGATCCCCCCACCGCATATTAACAGCCCGGGGCTGTGTGCTGGCGGTTTCAGCCCCTTTCAGCTGCTGGGAAGAAAATGGCTCTAGAATGAAATAAAGGGTAATTTTAAGTTGATAAACGGCCAACTCCATAGCTCTGTGATTGTTGTCTTAACATAAGTAGATGTAGACATTATAGAAATAATATATATTTCTATACATATAGAACATACGTAACATGCTTACTGTAAATATATATACATATGTGTATGTGTGGATATATACAACAATGTAGACAGCAGTAGAAAAACAAGTGAAGATACTTTGCCCCCCATTTCGCCCATTCCCCCCGAAGAATCCACAGCTGCATTGTGAGGGTTGCCCTTGCAGACATTTTCCTGTGCATTTGCATAATAAACAAACGCCTGTGTATTCCTACATTTGTAGTCTGAATTTCCTTTACACAAAGAGGATTGTGTAAATACCCGGAGTCTTGGTTTATCTGCTTCATTTATCTTTGGTTCTTTCCCATTCTCCTTCACTGTGGCCGAACATTCCACATTGTCCATGTAGCATTCTGTTCCCCTGAGAGATATTTAGGTTATTTCCCTTTTTTATTATTATAAACAGCACTGTGGTGAATCTCTTTGGCCATATATCTTTGTGAAGTATCTTTGTGATAGGAATCCATAACTTCGTGGAATAGATTCCAAGATGTATAATGATGGGACCAGGAATGAAGCCCATATCACACTGGTGGCTGCAGCCAAACACTCCTTCCGAAGGTCGCGCCGGCTGCCTTCTCGCCCTCGGTGCACGGAAGTGCAGCTCTCACTCCCCGCCAGTACCGATGTTACTAGCAACACATGGTTTTCTAGTCTGATGGGGAGGGCCGTGTCCTGTTGTTGTTTTATTTTATATTTCTGTAATTATAAACAATGTTGAACATCTCTTCATATGGGTATTGACATTGGCATTTATTTTCCCATAATTAGCCTGTTCGTATCCTTTACTGATTTTTCAGTGTTAGCGCTGGATACGCACTTGGGATGTTAATAATTTTCCTGTTATGTATGCTGTAAATACTTTCCTCTTAGTGGAGTACTTGTCTTTTACCCTTGTTTATAACATTCATTTGCCAAAAGGAAGTTATAAATATTTAGAAGTATTTGTAGAAGAAATTAGGGAATTGAAATAGATGTAGACTGACGATTGGGCCGTGTTTTCGCTGTTGTCCAGGTGTGGGCATCTATAACATATTACAGTGATTAATAAACTTTTTAGAAGTTAAATGATTGACAGGTGCGCCTGTTTCTGTATATGTCCTCTGTTGGCAGATGCTAAAATACAACTATTGCCGTATAGGGAGTTCCAGAAAATCTGTGAAGCCACACAGAGGCCCCCCTGACTGGGGAAGGTGGAGGGCCACGGCCCAGAAGATGGGCTCACGTCTGCTCGTAAATACCATATTTTGCTGTGTATGATGCGCACCCACATTTTTGGCCCAAATTTTCAGTATAAAAATCTTTCATTTTAATTTTTTAATTCAATTTTGGTTAGTTTATATTTAGAAAACTGATTACGATATTCTAGGGTATTATTTTGCATATGGATATCATTATTTCTTTCTAGAATTACACTTTTAATGCATATGCATAAATAAAAGAATTAAAATCATTTATATAGATACAGAATTAGTACTGCCCATGTATGATATGCATCCTTATTTTTTCCTCAAAAATTTGGGCAAAAAAGTACACATTATATGCAGCAAAACATGGTACCTGACAAAGTGTATTAATCAGGGCTCATTTGGTTGAAAGTAACTGACACCCAGCTCAAACGAGCTTAAACAGAAGGAGGACTTTCTCAACTTACACCTAAGACAGGCTCTGGCTTCAGCCACACGTGGACCAGGGGCACAAAGGATGATGTCCTCAGGTCTGCTCTCTCTCTCTCTCGCCCCGATAACTCTCTTCATTTGTTGGTCTGGCTTGGCTCTACTCAGCATCGTTCTCTTCTCCTGCAGACCAGGGCTTGCTGTGGAGGGACAGATGGCTGGGGCAGTGCCGAGTCTGCATCCTTAGAGACCAGTATCTAGCAGGAAAGGAGACCCTTTCCCAGTATCTGCACCACACCTCTTGCAAGGAAAAGGAGTCCAGTGGCCCCATCACTGTCCTCAATGACTCCAATCACATGTCCACTCCCAGGGGCCAGGGACATTGTGACTGACTGTTCAAACAGAGCCACCTGGTGCCAGGGGTGGGAGGGTTCACCAACAGAAAGAGGGGTGCTATATGGGCAAACATGGCAGGCTGCAGAGCCCCCACGCACAGCGTGCAGAAAACTGTGGGGCGGGGCACCTGGCCTGGAGGCGGAGGAGTGAGCTTAAAATGGGGTTCCAGCCACCACGTACACCTTGGGGAGCTGCCTCAGCCTCCCCTGGGTCTGTGGCTCTCCACTCCCGACGTGGTTTCATGAGGATTATTGAGTGGACACCCATGACCCGGCTCTGGGGGCCACAAAGTATACGGCAGGTGGCATTAAATGAGAAATGCCACACACCTGTGTCTAGCTCTTCACAGGCACTCAAAAGGTGATGGTTTTCTTCCTCAGTATTTACCTGAGTTCAGAGGGTGTTAGGAAGGAGGAAATCCATTTAAATGAAGCAACTGTGCAAGTCCTTCCGTCCACAACCTGAGCGAGGCCCCGCTCTGCGGGGTTGCCTCCCATGTTGCCTCATTATCAGTGAGAAGACCACGTGGCATCAGGAAAGAGGCCAGGCACCTCGGGGCTCCAGGAACGGTTCTTGGAGGGAAGCTGACTTCTTGCTCCACCAAAGTCTATGCCGAGGGAAAGAACAGTCACTCAAGGTGAAAATCCTGCCACAGTCTGTGCCCCTCTGGCTGGCTCGGGGGCCCTGGTGACCACGTGTGTCCTGACCTGCTTGGCTTTCCTTGCAGTCCACCTGATCCCGGTGTCCGTGGCTAAGAATGGAGTGAGTAGCAAGAGCCGAAAGAGGATCATGCCCGATCCTGTGACGGAGCCCCCTGGGAGAGACCCGGTGTACGAAGCTCTCTTGTACTGCAACATTCCCAGTGTGGCTGAGCGCAGCATGGAAGGTAGGCCCACCTGCACTGCCCAGCTTGGCCCCTGGATGGACACCCCTCTGGGGACCGGTTCTTCTTCAAGCCACACAGCCTAGTGGTGAGGAACTCGCCAGCCTGGGCGCCAACCCTGCCACAAGGCCCCTGAACGAGGTCCCCCATCTTAGCTCCCTCAGCTCTAGAGCATCAGCCCCCACTTTTCCAAGCAGGCTCTCTGGGGGCTCAGGACACCCTGCTGGTGTCTTGTAGCAAAGGTGTAAGAAAGTTCTTTCTACACTGAATTTTGCTTTTCTGATAGTGTGTCAGAGAGTCATGTTGAGCCTGTTTGTGCCCTGCTCGTTCATGAAGGGTTTAAAGCAGAAGTCGCCGTGTCCAATGCTTCCCTGCGCCCCCACCTAGTTTGGGGTGTGAATGAGGCCCCAGGTACACTCTTGCCTGCATGTCACTGGCCTCCAGCCCCCAGCCACACCCCCAGAGCCTCCCAGCGACTTCTGGGGGCCGGGGACACAACCAGCCCTCTCCTGTTCCTCTGCCCTCCTGTGAGTCTGTTCAGAGGCGCCCACCCCCACGCAGACACGGCACCCTTCCGCCATCACACCCCCTCACTTCTGTGAAGTGGGATGGACTGACGCTTCCTGAGCGATAACAAGACAGTGTGTCTGTCTGTCTCTCTTTCTGTCTGTGTCTCTTGCAGGTCACGCTCCACATCATTTTAAGCTGGTCTCAGTACACGTGTTCATCCGACATGGGGACAGATACCCACTGTATGTCATTCCCAAAACGAAGCGACCAGAAATTGACTGCACTCTAGTGGCTAACAGGTACATTGCACTTTTTCTAAAAGTTCTTTTCAAGAATCTGTTGTATCTGTCCTAATCAAAATGCTGACTGGAGAATGACCGGAGAATGGGGTGTGACCTGTCATGGAGTGAGTCTGATCTTCAGAACAATCCTGCATGTTAATGAGGTCCCACAGTTGAGAAAACAGGCCCAGAGAGGTGAGGACACCTGTGTGAGGCCACACAGCAGATAAAGCCCTGGCCAGTCTGAGGCCCCATCTCCCACCCCACTGCTTTTCCATTTGAGCAATGGCTGGGACATGGTGCAGTGAGCACTGGGTTAGGGGTGCTCAGACCCTGGCTAGGCTGGTCCATTCGGGGCAGCAGGTAAGTCCCTTAGTCTCTCTGAGCCTCAGCCTTCCAGCTCTGAAGCAGGGGCAACGATGCTGACCGTGCAGGATGGGGTGAGGAAGAAGTGAGGTGAGAGAAGGGAAGGCCCGCTCTCCTTTATTTGCAATGCCGTATAAATGGAAGATACCACCTCAGATATCCACAGGGGTAGAAACAGCCTGCTCTTGGTTGAGAGCCCTCAGGATGAGACATGATTGAAAGGGGTGGAGATGGTGCCCCTGAAAATGGCGTGGCTCTATAGCTGGAGGCACAGTTAGCAGTGAAGTATGGGCCGGGCCTCCACACACGTGTCTGGAGACACATAACATCCCGAGCAGAATCTGCTGAATGAGGAGAGGAGTCGGAGGTAAGAGCTCAGTGGGGAAGACACTATTCTGATGGAATGCTCCTGGTGGAACCACGGAATGCCCCCCTGCAGCCAGGGCTGTTCTTTCAACATGGACCGAGGTGGGAACCCAGGAGCTTCAGGTCCACTCTGAACCTCGAGCCTTCTTCTCATTACCCAGTATTATGGAGATTAAGTGAGCCATCTCTGGTAAAAGCATCATAAAATACTATGTAACTGTAGGCTTTCAAATATTTTTTTCATTATCTGCTAGGGGTCATGACACTTGCAATCTGGGTATTTGTGTTTTCTTTTCTACGTTCGGCAAGCGCCGAGGCATGCCTGGAGTCCCCTGGGCTGGCAAACACTCCAGTGGAGCCCAGCCCCGTCAGGGTGCCATGCAGACCCTGGCTTTCCCCCTCCAGGCTCTAGCCTCCTGTGCCAGCCTTCCCACTGGGACCCTCCACCCCTGCCCTGTCCACTTCTTGCTAGCCCCCCTCAGCCCTTCAGGCCTCGCACCTGCCGTTTGGCTTGCTTGTGCCCTGTGCCAGCTCGGCCCACTCCCGCAACTCCTGCGAGGCCTCCAGAGATGTGGCTCCTCTAGGAATCCTCCCTACATATGAGGATGGGCCCTCTGCTCAAATCAGGCTCAGCCACTGCCTTACTTCAAACTGGAGAGGGGGGCTGCAGGGAGGCCTCAGAACAAAATATTTAGTGGTCGGACATTAGCTGGCCTGAGGACTAGGGCAAGGGTGGAGGTCACTTGCTATGCTGGGGAGTAACCCTTTAGTTTCTGGATCATGCGGATGGGCCGGAGCAGCCAAAGTAGCAGGAGGGCACAGGGTGGGGTGCAGGGAGGGCAGCTTAAGGAAGTGGCTTTGCTCCATCGGGCACAGCAGTTTCCATGTGGTAACAGCTGGCACAGTCCTACCTTTGCACGCTGGATGAATATCCAACCTTGGAAGAGCCCGGGCACAGGTAGGCTACGGCCTCAGAGCTGGCCAGACCCAGGGCAGCCTCAGAGGCTTCGTGGGCAGGACCTTGCTTCATTTCCGGCTGTTTGCAGCTTCTGGTCCTCGTTTTCTCTCTGGGCTTCAGATTCTGAGAAGTGAGAGTTTGAGAGGCTCAGCTCAGACCAGGGTCTGATCTCAGACCAACCAGGTGTTGCTAGAATGTCCCTGGGGATGCAAAGCCTCTGGGGGCCTCCAGGCTGTTCCTGGGAGAAGGACCCATTAGTCAGGGCCACCTGGGCAGTGTGCAAGGGCCTCCCCCATGTGCCAGGGTACCTTGCAGCCTGCCCTCCCAGCACGACTATCTCTGCCCCCCACCACCACCACCACAGGCTTCTCCAGGGCATTGGTCTTGCCCCTCCCCGTGTCTCCCAGGCCCAGCCTGCGCCTGGCAGATAATGGTTGTTGGGCGGGGTTGGCTGCAGAACAAATTGAGGATCTAAGTGAGAACCACAAGTCACAATGGCCTATCGTCTTTCTAACATGTGTTTCTATCAGATTTAAGTCTTGGCAGGGAGTCCTCTGAGGCCATTGTAACCTGTTAGATGTAGGGAAGATCACTTCGCCTCCCTGAGCCTCAGTCCACTGTTCTGGAACATGGGGATATTGATACCTTCCTTCCCACGCCCTTGTGAAGTCTGACTAAGGTGAGGGAGTGAGGCACTGAGCCTGGTCCATACCGAGAGCTTGGTAAGAGGGTGGCGTTTCATATACCACAGCAACCTGGATGTCTTCAGGGTCCCAGCCTCTTTCCTTCCCCAAGTGGTCGTGGTCATGAAGCTGGGACAGGCCACAGGGCCCTTCATTCTGTCCAAGTGATGGCAGGACCCACTGAAGGGGCCATTTCTGGGGCTCCCACTGGAGAGGCATAGTTCCTAGAGATCAACTGCCCCTGCTGCCTCAGCCCTCATTTTCCCTGACCTTGACCTTGTGACTTAGTTTTATTTGATCAAACATTCTGTATTTTTAGGGTTTACTTTAAGTGCTTTGTAGAAAGTGGGTGGAGTAGGCATGTTTAATTATTAACATCATTTAATTAATTCCATCTTTAAAAACAATAAATATCGACCTGTTATTCACAAGAGTGGACAGGACTTTCAGCGATGTGAATCCACTTTGGGCCTCTGGATCCCCTGAGACTATGGGATCGGGGTCATCAGCAGTATCCGCTGCCTTCGCAGGTACCAGTTCAGCTTCACGAGTTCCTAATTTCCATGGCCTTCTAAAAGGCAGTGGGTCCTGGGGTGTGCCTGTTAACGCTGGTCTGGGGAGAGAGTGTTTGCGCGGTGCAGTGAGCTGAGTAAGAGGAGCCAGATGTCTACAAGTCAGTTGCCCCAAAGTTTCCCTTCACAATGATGTGCTGTGCGGCCCTCAGCATCTTTGTAGTGGAAGCTGCGTCTTCGTGAACGCCATGTGCCTCATGACAAAGGTGCTCTTTGTACCGTCAAAGGACCATGTTTATCCAGTAGTAAGGTTATTTAGCCAATGGCATGCTATGTTTAGTAAATGCTTTTAGTTTGCATTCATGCATATGAATTTGATATTCATTTCTCAGTCCAAAGAAGAAAAGAATATTGATAAATCCGCATTTATTCAATAAACTTTAGTTGTGTTTTGTTTTTAAGATTTTATTTATTTTTAGAGAGGGAAGGGAGGGAGAAAGAGAGAGAGAGAAACATCAATGTGCAGTTGCTGGGGGCTATGGCCTGCAACCCAGGCATGTGCCCTGACTGGGAATCGAACCTGCAACACTTTGGTTCACAGCCCATGCTCAATCCACTGAGTTATGCCAGCCAGGGCTAAACTTTAGTTTTAAATGCATGTCATGTAGCAGGTATTATCACATGTACCTGGCTCATGTGAGCAGGATCCTAAATGAAGTGAAAGAGTCAGTTCTGTGAGGATCCGGGGGAAGAGTGTTCCTGATGGAGGGAACAGCAAGTGCAAAGGGCTGGAAGAGCTGGGCATCTGTGAGTAACAGTAAGATAGTACGAAGATGTGGCTGGACTGAGGATTGACAAGGAGAGTGGGCTCCTAAGGATTTGTGGAAAAAAGGCTGTTCCTGCCCTCAGCAGGCCCAGTCACCTCTGGACACTCTGATCTGGCACATGGTAAGCCCCCAGTGAGCGGTAGCCAGCACAGGTGGTAGCAGCAGCAGCAGCAGCAGTATTAGAGAAAGAAGTAGAAGAAAACTGGAAGTAGTTTTGGTACCATATTTTGTGGCATGAGCCATAAGAGGGGCAGCCTGACTCAGCTTGAGGCAGGGAGGAGAGGTGGGATGACAGATCAGGGACGGTCACCAAGAGAAAGGGACCTAACCGGTGTGCAGGAATAAGTCAGATAGCAGCTGATGAGACACAGTACCCAGGGCAGTGACACCTGCCTATGCAAAGGTGTGGGCCAGTGACAGTTCAACCCACAGGCTTGAGCATGGAGTGGGGAGGTGGGTAGGGACCAGGCCACCTGATGCTTTGGATATCTAGCTAAGGAACGTGGACTCTAAGCGTGAAGGCAGCAAGGGAGCTGGAGAGTGAAGGGCTGAAATTAGGAAGATATGGAGGATGGAGTGGAAGCTGGTGGTGGTTTTTACAGTATTATGGGGATAATGATCCAGAAAAAGACTTCTCACAGAGGCAGAGCCCATCTCTTTTTTAAAAAATATTTTCTTTATTTTAAGAGAGAGGGGAAGGAAGGGAGAAAGGGAGAGAAACATCAATGTGTGGTTGCCTCTTGAGCGCCCCCTACTGGGGTCCTGGCCCACAACCCAGGCATGTACCCTGACTGGGAATCTAACTTGCCGCCCTTTGGTTTGCAGGCCAGCATGCATGAAATCCACTGCCCTGCACACAAGAGCCACACCAGCGAGGGCAGAGCCCACGTCCTTAAGTTGACCCTCAAGGCCTCCTGTGCCCTTCCTCCCCTTTCCTCATCTAACCTCGCCTGCTGCTCTCCTTGCCTTCAGCCACACTGCTCCTGCCTCTCCTTCCCACATGCACACTGCCACCTTGAGGCTTTTGCCCTGACTGCGTCCTCTCTCCAGACAGATACGCTCCAGGTAGCTTTATGATGATGCCAGTTCACTCACATCCTTCAAGTCTGTGTTCAAATGTTATCTTCTCAATAAGACTAATCAGAGCATTCCTGTTAAAATTAGAATGCATTCCTCCTTTCGCCCAAGTCTCCCAGGTTCCCCTTACCCTGCTCCTCTTTTTGATAACGGCATCAACATAAAGTATCTGTTACCTTCTAACACGTACACTCACACACACACTTAGAGTGTTCACTGTAGTTGCCTG